CACACACACACACACACACGCACAGACACACACACCACAAACACACACACGCACAAATATCTGTATACACTAAATATATATTTAGATGGGTGCTGAACCTTTTGAGAGTTGCAGACATAATATTTTGCTCATGTATATCCTAATAATGAAGGACATTCTCCCACATAACCAAATAGTTATCACAGTTCACAAACTTAACATTGATTGATTATCTGAAATACTGTCAATATTCAAATTTTCCCAAGTTTCGCAATAATGTCCTTCACAGCAATTTTCCCCCCCAGATCTGGACCTGGGAAATGAAGGGTCATATATTGCATTTAGTTGTCTCCTTCAATGTAGAAGTAATCCCCAGCCTCTTTTTATTGGGGGAGGGGTCTCATGATACTGACAGCTTTGAAGAGTCCAGGCCAGTTTTGCAAAATGTTTCTCAACTCACATTTGTCTGTTTACTTGTAATTAGATTAAGGTTAAATATTTTTAGCAGGAAGACTATCTAGGTGGTGGTGTGTCTTTAGCACATCACATTGGAAGGCACATGATGTCAGTTTGTCCCATGATTGTTGACATTAAATGTGATCACTTAATTAAGGGTAGTGTTTACTGTACTTCTCTATTTTAAAGATTTTCTTATTTGTAATTAATAGCCTGTGGAGTGATACTGAATATCCCATTCCCCCCCAATTTGTTACCCAATGGTTTTAGCATCCATTTATGATTCTTGCCTCAATTATTACTTTAGTGGTTGCAAAAAGGCAATTTTGGGACCGGCCGAGTGGCGCGTTGGTTAAGAGTTGGCTTGGGACGCCAGCTCTGAGCAGCAGGGCCCCGGTTCGGATCCCATATGGGCCAGTGACGCTGCACCCTCTACAGCTAAGATGGTGAATAACAGCTTGATCTGGAGCTGGGCTGCTGTGAGTCGCTGGCAAGGTGTAGGCTGCAGCCCCTTGCTGCAGTGGGCTGTTGTAAGCTGCCGTGAGTGGCCGGCAGTTGGCGTGAGCTGCCAAGAGCCGCCGTGAGCGGCCGTCCAGTGGCTGGCGACCGATATGCTTCACCCAGGAAGAGCGCAATGATAATACCAACATTGGCCAGTGAATCGATGTCCTCCACAACTAGGCTGAAGAACAAAAGGACAGCAACTTGTCTGTTCTCCTCCCCCAATTCCCCAATTAAAAAAAAAAGCGATTTTCTAATTATTTTATTCTACATTTATTAATGGGTATTCTATAAAGAAGGGTATTTGCTTCCTGTTTTCTTTTTATTTTTATTTTATTCTTTGCTGTTATTGCTCTGGAGTCAGGGATTCTTATTTTATTCAATGAGTTATATTCCACAGGCTGGTTCCTGTGCCCTTTTGATATGTCTCCATTTGTTTTTGAGCATTTTCTTGCTGTTACAACAAGATATTTTAGGCTCACTTTGCATTTTCCCTGCAGCAACCTTGGAATTAGCTATTTCACCAAAAAGTCTTGTTTCATTTTAGTGGAGAGTGATACTGGAAATAAAAATTCGGGTGTGCAGGGTGCTTCTTTCTACTGGGATGTCACTACTAGACTTTTTCAGACAGAGCTAAAGACCATGTTAGTTTGTTTGTTTGTTTATATAAGCATGAATTCATAGTACTATTTCTAATATCAAATTCCCGAAGGTTTTTTCTTATTCCATTCTGTGTTTGTATCTCTCCTTTCTTATAGTAAGATCCTTAATTCCTGAAACGTTTTACTATATCTACTTATTTGCTTGGTCTGATAGCAATGAAATTGCTACATCATTATCACTACCAACAACAAACCTAAGTTGAAGATTTCTTTGCATTTCTTTTTGTCTGTAGACTGTTGTTTATAATTGTTTGTAATTAATGTATCAGCTTAAGTACTTGATGGATGCTTAAAACAATTCACCTTAAATAATTAAAAATTTTAGATGGAGACCATATGCATATAACCCCCCCCTTCCTACTTGATAATTTTCTTTTAAAAATTATCTAGTCCACAGATTTTTGTTGAGATATAACATTCGCTAATTTTAACAGAATCCTGTTTCAGTACAATAGTTGCATGTATCCTGAGGGTACTATAAAACTATAAAACTATAAAACTATAAAATAGTTTTGCCTGTACAGCAAAGATATACTTCAAATTGACTCATTTAAATTTCATGTTAATTTTAGGGGAGCTCAGATTGTTGCTTTTTGGGAAACTTTATTTTATCTTAGGCAGAGATACTGATGTTCAGAGACACAGGAGAAAACAGTGGAGCCTATATATTACATGTGAAAATAAGTTAGATTAGGAAAAAAATAGAGAATAAGAGCTACACGTGTGATATTAGTTCTCACAAGAAATCAGTTAATTTTGTTCTGAACTTCTTGGCAACCTTGTTGAAAGAGGAAATATTCTGTTGGGATGACTTTCATTGTTTAAGAAAACAAAGATTTTTGTAATTGTATAGGAAGAATTTTATTGTGGAAATTATATCTATTCAATAAATGTACAAGTGTTTCTTGTATGATTATTTTAGTACTATTGAATATGTAAATTAAATCATGGTTTAAAGAAGGCATTTCTGTTGTTTTCTGATCTTTCAGGAATTGAATTTAGGAAATATGACAAAATTGTTAGTTAACATGCCATTTAGACACTATCAGATACAAACAACTTTGTATGTTATAACACCATAGCTCAAGAGGTCTATTTGAAACTTGATTGTTAGTGATATACGATTATTAGTTGCTTCAGGTGAGCTCTGAATACAGAAATGTAAATGTTTTGTAGTATTTATTAAAGAAAGGGTCAAACATTTTTTGTGGTTCTGTGGGGTGTTAAGTACTAGGGAAACCAAAGAAAGTACACCCTATTTCCATACCTCAAAATAGCTTATATTTTTGTATAAGTTTATTAGAAAATTGTATAAATAAGAAGCAACGTAAATACACATTTGACACACTTAGAACATTTTTAAAAATATTAAATCGCTTTAATATTTAATATTTGCAAGATACTAATTGTGCAAATCAGGAAGTTTTATCTTTGAATGTTTACTTGCACTGTTCTAACCACTTAATAAAAATCCTCAAGATTATTGGTATTGCCCTCCATTCTAATTTTACAACTGTACGTACCCCAATATTGCTAGTTTAATTTTCTGATTAGATTTTATTTATGAATCGTAAGTCTAGAAATGCTGCACAAGTGTAACTTAATTTTTCTCTTTGGCCTCCAACAGGACTTTATTTTATTTTTTAAAATCACAACTAGGGTAGATGGTTTAATCTATCTCTAGGGAAATGTATTGCAGCGTCCCTGGTAATTCCTTGTCCCAGGGTTTGGAAACCTTTTTCATTATTATCTATGTAACCAAAATCCCTGCTGCTGTAAATAAACTTATTTTCCTTAGTTTGTTCTTCGTGAAAATACAGTGTACTGTCATGAGCATAGGAATAACACCCTCATTTTCCCCTCCACCTCAAAAGACTTTTTCTTTTTCAACACGACTTCGACTACTGTTACTAACCCAAGTTAATGTTAGATTCTATTGCTGAAAGCCTCAGTTTTGCCATTTATTGAGGTGTTAATTGAAATATTAATGTATTTAGAGCAGAAATGTCGTTTTTTAGGGAATCTAGAACAACAGCAAAGCTGAGGTCAAACTGCCATAAGGATGGACACCAAGGAAGCTGTGTTTGGGACAAAAAGAAATCAAGATAAGGTAGATGCAAAGTAGAGAAAAGCACTGGACCCTGGGGGGAGGGGTGGTAGGTGGGAGTGGGTTGTAAGCTGCTAATGGCAAAGAATAGTTAGATTTCTGAAGAGGAAGCCACCAAAGGCTTATAGGACATACTAAGGATTTGGGTTTAAGTATTATCTTCCCTCTGAATGTATAAGTCTTAGCTGACTTTTAGCTAGCAGAATCCGTTAAAATTTCATAAGGTTAAGTTGTTTAGTCGGGTGGATCCTAATATTCTGGGCTAGTGTTTCCTGTCTGGATAGTTGTGGAAGACAGTATTGGTATTAGTTAATAAAACCATTGCCAGAACCCAACTTCAGCTCTAATGCCTGTTATTACTTGAAAGTCGAAAGGGAATCTCTGATTGAAGGATTAAACTGACAAAATCAGTACAGAACATTTAATTTTTCCTTTTCTTTTTGTGATGTAAAAATTGTGTTTCTCTCTATAGCAACATGAACCGTGAAGACCGGAATGTGCTGCGTATGAAAGAACGGGAAAGGCGGAATCAGGAAATTCAGCAGGGCGAAGACCCCTTCCCACCCAGCTCTCCTCTCTTTGCTGAGCCATACAAAGTTGTAAGTTGTCCTTTGAATGTTTTTTTCCCCAGTACCATGACATGTTTGCTTTAAAAATTTTTTAACTTGAATTTGTATACGAAAAAATAGTTATTATTTATACCATTTAACATTTTTTCCCTTCTAAGTAGAATGTACTTTGTTGGGGTGCTTTTCATTGGTGTATAACATGCATGCAGGAAAGTATGCAAATTGTGTTATAGCTGAAAGAATTTTTACATGAGTAACCTTGTATAACCAGTACCTAGATCAAGAGCCTTATGTTCCCCTCATCCACACCCCCCAGTTGCTATAGTATTGTACTTTTGAAAGTGTGGTCTGGATTAGCTTAAACACCCATCTCTGTATTCCTGGCTCTACCACTAACTCTGGGCAGGCATTTCACCTTTCTGAGCCTTGGATTAAATTAAAATTTTGTAAATCAATCTTTAGCATCTGATGTTTCCTACGTTCTTTGGGTATAATAACATCAATCAAAGATGAGTATATTTCATAGATTCTTTTGTTTTCCCTATTTCTTTGCCATTTGCAATTACTTATTAGTATGTTTGAATAAATGTACCTTCAGTATCAATCTGGTTCTTTTTCTGTTACCACCTACTAAATTCTCTGATTTTCTTTCTAATATATTTAATGCTTAATTAACAGTATCAGATTTAGATTAAAGCATGTCAGAGGTGTTCAAATTGAGCCAGTTGCTATTTTTTTATAACTGCTGTTGTGCTTGATTTGGGATTACATAAAACACTGGATGGTACCACTCCAGTGTAGCTGTAGTGGCCACAGATGTCTCTCTGATGGATTTGGCTTTGGATTTCATTTGAACTATTTTTACATTGTAAACTTTATATGTGTATAATAGCTATAATACTATGTATTGCAGCTGTATTGACCATTGTTGGCATATATTATGAGATTGAGAATGTTAGACTTTTTTCTGATGAAATATAAATATAACATATAGCCTGAGTTTTTACCATTATATCATCTGGTGTTCGTAGAAACCATCTATGAGATCTATAAAAGCCATTTATTAAAAGGTTTTAAGGATTTTCCAATTAAAGGCAGTTATACTGACATCATTTATATAACACAAAACTTGAGATTTGGGATTAGGGATTAAAAAAACAGGAGCTCTGTCCAGAATCTTCAAATCATACTTCCATTTTTTTGTAATTACATTGTAATGAATTGGGTTTGATTTCTAATCTTGATATTGTCTATAAATTGCTGTATATTTACCTCTCATTTATAGGGATCAGACTAATTTTCAAATAATTTAAAGTCATTCTTGATTCATGCCAACCTCAAAGTAAATAGTGCTGGCTCAGTCTTGATTTCCTTTTCAACGTAATTAGTAAACTTTCTGTCATGTATATGAATATGAAAGAATCCTAAAAGCTTGTAGAAATCTTGGACCTTCTTATCATCCAAGAATAATTCTTGAAGCTTAAAGTATATACTGTTGTCTTCAAATGTTGGTGCATTTATTGGTTAGAATTAATAGCCAGGATTTAAAATTTTATCAATGGATTTCCATGCTTAATTTGTTGTTAGGACTTTTATTAACTTGATGAGTCAAAATAACGAAAGACTTAATGTAAAAGAGTCAGTTGGGTATAACTTGTTTCACTAAATTTTTGTTTGTGCTTCTAACTATAACATTGAATAAGGGATATAATGTTTTCCCAGACTGCCAATGTATGAGTGTTAGCTAATCGGCTGGCCTGGAACTTAATTATATAAAGGCACATACTTTTCCTGGTCTTCAAAAGATTTTCACTACTGTTCCAGTATATTTACTGGTAAAATTTGGATATTTTTTTCCTCCTGAAATCTTTGGTTTTTTTTTAATAAGTCTTTATTTTTCATACAAGATCTTCATGGAATCTATATAGAAAGATTATTTATGTTTTAATGTTTTAACATGAATGTTTTTTACTTTCAGCTCATTTTTCATTATAAAAATTATATAGTTGGAGTTTGCTTTGAGGTGTTAACCTTAAGATATGAAATGAGACCTTCCTCGGGAAAGTCCCTTTCCATTTGAAGCTTGGAAAGTCGGGTTAGAAGCATCTTTTATTTCCAGTTATGCTAACTGTAAATTTTTATTTTACATTTTTTTGTAGACCAGCAAAGAAGATAAGCTATCAAGTCGTATTCAGAGTATGCTTGGAAACTACGATGAAATGAAGGATTTCATAGGAGACAGATCTATACCAAAGCTTGTTGCAATTCCCAAGCCTACAGTACCACCGACAGCAGATGAAAAATCTAACTCAAATTTCTTTGAACAGAGACATGGGAGCTCTCATCAGAGTAGCAAATGGACACCAGTAGGACCTGCACCCAGTACTTCTCAGTCTCAGAAACGGTCCTCAGGCCTACAGAGTGGACACAGTAGCCAGCGGACCAGTGCAGGTGGCAGTGGTGGCACCAATAGTAGTGGCCAGAGGCATGACCGTGACTCATATAGCAGTAGTGGGAGCAGTAGCCGGAAAAAAGGCCAGCATGGATCAGAACACTCCAAATCACGCTCTTCCAGCCCTGGAAAACCCCAAGCTGTTTCTTCATTAAGCTCCAGTCATTCCAGGTCTCATGGGAATGATCACCATAGCAAGGAACATCAGCGTTCCAAATCACCTCGGGACCCCGATGCAAACTGGGATTCTCCTTCCCGTGTACCTTTTTCAAGTGGGCAGCACTCAAATCAGTCTTTCCCACCTTCATTGATGTCAAAGTCCAGTTCAATGTTACAGAAACCCACTGCCTATGTGCGGCCCATGGATGGACAGGAGTCCATGGAACCAAAGCTGTCCTCTGAGCACTATAGCAGCCAATCCCATGGCAACAGCATGGCCGAACTGAAGCCCAGCAGCAAAGCACATCTCACCAAGCTGAAAATACCTTCCCAACCATTGGATGTAAGTAACACATTTAGAGCTTTTAACATGACTGTGTGAAACACTTTACCATGAAATTATTATTGAACTTGAACTCTCTTTGTCTTAATAGTAAGGAATGTAAAAGTTTAAAAAAAGACATGATTGACTCCCATGTGGATCGTAGAGCTGTGAGCTTCTCCTCTTGGGCAGCAGAGAAAATGTCGTTCACTATTTTCAAATATTAAAATGATGAGTCAGTTATAGAACGAAAACATGAGTGTTGAATACCTTAGATTTCCTCCTTTTGATTTTATGAAACACATCTTGTGTTTAAAAAAATTTACAATTTCTGTTGTCATAGTGATACTCATGAATGAGACATGGGCCATGGTTCATTGTGGTATATGTTGGGACTTTTTCAGGTCCATGGAGATGGTAATGCTGTGTGGTTTAGATGCCATGATCCCTTTCTCTGGTTACACTTAACCTTAAGGTTTGAAGCAGTTGTTCCAGACTCATAGTGGTAGATTGAAACTTACAGTATTTATAACTGCATACCAAAATGTGATATTCAGAATAACCAAAGAAGTGAGCATTTGTTATGAAATAGCTGAATTTTTCTTTTCTTTTTGTTTTTTATTTATTTTTTTAAATTGAGGAATTGGGGGGATGGGAACAGCGCTGGGGAATTGGGGGAAGGGGAACAGACAAGTTGCTGTCGTTTTGTTCTTCAGTTTAGTTGTGGAGGACGTTGCTTCACTTGCCCAAGTTGGCACCATCATTGCGCTCTTCCCGGGCGAAGCAGATCAGTCGCCGGCTTCTGGACGGCCGCTCACGCTGGCTGCTGGCTACACACAGTAGCCCATGGCAACCCACTGCCACGGGGGGCTGCAGCCTACACCATCACCGGCAACTCATGGCAGCCCAGCTCCAGGTTGAGCTGTTGTTCAGCATCTTAGCTGTAGAGGGTGGTGTCACTAGCCCTCATGTATGGGATCCGAACCGGGGCCCTCTGGCGTCCCAAGCCAGTTCTTAACCATCGCGCCACTCGGCCGGCCCTGAATTTTTCTTTTAATACAGTTTTTGCAATAAAGAAAATTTAAAAGTAATGTTAGTAGCTGAAAATCATAGTTCAGAGCTTAAAACAGTGGGGGAGGGTCAGGTATAGGTAAAATGCTTTTAAGAACATTTGAAAATCTTTTCTGTGGCCTTGAGAAACTCATTGTTCATAGCATTTGTCATCTAATTACTCCTCTCAAGAGAATACTAGTAAAGTGATAATTTGTTCTTTCTTCAAACGACCTGATCCTTAGAATTAGACTTGAGTTCAAGCTCCAGTTCTCTAATTCCCGCTTAAGCCTTGGAATAAACAACTCCCATGATTTGATAGGCTATGTGAAATATCCATCATGTTCCAGACAAGTAATCTTTCAGTAATACTGGTTTTATTTTATTTGTTAGTTTATGTGAAATGATGTATCTCAATGTCATGGTATATTTTATATGTAAATTTTTAATTTTTTTGAGAAGATGCTTACCTGAAAAATTACACTTAAAAATTATTTCTAAGATTTTTAGAAGTTTTTGAAAACTATGAAGTTTTTAAGTCATGTACAGTTTGGTGATTAAAATTTTTTAGTTTTTGGAAAGCTTGTATTTAAGAAAATTAGTCCAAATATTCTAGTTAGTGTTATGCTTTGGAATAATGGGATCATAAGTACTTCTTCAAATTGAATTTCGGGGCATCCCAGTCCAGACTCCCTCTCGTTTCGAGAGCTGTAACTTTCTGCTCTAATAAAACTATCCTCTGCTATAAATAAATAAATAAATAGAATTTCATTTCTAATGAGTTAAATCTGTGCAACAAATGATGGAAATCTAGTAATAAATTACTTCAACTCTAATGTGTGTTTCTTTTCCTCTTAAGGCATCTGCTTCTAGTGATGTGAGCTGTGTGGATGAAATTCTTAAAGTAAGTTACATGTTTGGGTTTTTTTTTAATAGGTTCAGTCTCTCTTATTTAATTATGATGCTCTGCTGCCCTCTTAGCCTCTTTCTCCATCTATTTCACAAAGGACCTGAAGCAATAGATTGCTCTCATGTGAAACTTGATTGTTTGTCAAAAATAACTGAGTCTGTACTGCTTATATTCATACTTAGGTTCTGAATCACTTGGTTTGTTTACTATTTGTCCTCAAAGAACTGATTTTTGTTTTTAAGTAAAACAAATTTCAGTCTTAACAGCTTGAAAAGAGGAAGAAACCAAATATAACTGTACTTTCTCAGCTTTATCAGTTAATAATTTGAAGTGCTAAATACTCAATAGTTACCAGTCACACCATAACATTGAAAATAGTTTGCTTTGTAATTTATCTGTACTTACTGGTCAAATCCTATGATGAAAGACCTCCTTTGAGTACTATATATTTTGAGTGTTTAATGGAGTATGTCTAAAATCAACATGTGACCAAAAATTACATTCCTCTATTGGGAAATGAAAAAGAGAAAGTCCAGTGAATTAATGAGTGACAATGCCTGCTTTTGACTCAATAGAGAAAAGCCATCCATCACATGTTGTATTTTTGCAAAAGCTCCTGAATTTTTGTGTCTATACTTGGATTTCATTATGAATACGCTTGAAAGACTGTTTGCGTTGGCTGCTTCCATTTTTATTCTCTCCTTCCTTCTTTTAGTCCACTATAATCGCTTACCTTTATCTTTCTGCTCTACTTATTCTCTAAGGTCATTCATTACCTTCCCCTTCATCCGGGGCTTCATTTGAATTCTCTACTCTTTCCTTCTGGAAACATCATTCTTTCGTTGACTGTTGTTATGCTTCATTGTTTTTATTTCCCATCCACCTTTCTTGTCTCTCATTCTCTGCCTTTTGGGAACCCTTGTATCTTCTCTTACTTCTTAAATATGGGTGCATTTTCTAGCCTCTCCTTTCTGCTCTTTCACTTACTTGTCTTTTTGTCCATTCTTTTGGCTTTATCTATTAGACAGCTCTTTATTCTTTCTCTTCTCCCTTGGCCTCCTTTGAGTTTTGGCTTATGTCACATAATTGCTTTTTAGCTGGGTCTCCATTTGGATTTCTCCCTGCTTCTTCAGACTCAACATGTCTAAAGCCATATTTATCTAACGTCCTTCCATTAGTAGTACCACCATTCCCCCATGCTTGTAAGTGTGGAATTCTAATTATCTCATTTCTCCCGCGTGTCCTGTTTAATCACAAACTACGTGTAGACTTTGAAAACTTTTTGAAAATATCCATTCCTTTATTTCTGTGTCTGCCACCTTGAGCTTCAATAATTGCAATGTATAGTCCTCACTCTGCCTTTCTGCCTGCTTAGTCTCCCTGCTCATCTTTCTGCTGTATTGCCACCAACTTCTTTGCTTCAATCCCTTATCTTCATAAATCAATAACCTTCTTAGAAATTTTCAATGACTCTCTAAGGCCCATAGAAAGAATAGTGACCAAATTTAACATTCCATATCTTTCACAGGTCAGCCCTAACCTCTCCCACTACTGATTGACCGCTTTTGCCAAACTGGTTTCCCTAAGCTGTGTACTTCCTTGCTCTTTTACTTTTTTACGAACAACTTTCATGAATGTGTTTCTCCTTCCTCTTCAGTTACATATAGACTCTGATTTTTCTTAGAATCCTAATGAAATCTTTCTTCCCCCTGTATCAGACTATAAGAAACCAGTGATAAACTCTTTTGATTCTCATATAGCATTCATTTTTTAGTCACCATGTATATAAAAAGTCTAAGGGAGCATACATCTTTTTCCCAAATTGTCAACAATGCATGGCATTCTAATACCTGGAAGAAATCTTAGATTTTCTTAGATTTAATTATTTCATGTTATTGATGTTTTATTCTACATTTTATATATTCAGTGTGGCACATGACCTTGGGTGTAATAGGTGCTCAGTCATTTGATGATGGAGAGTTAAATAGATTTTCTATTCAGAGTAGTTTGGTATTTGAGGTGTAAAATGCCAACACTATATGATTTTTCTGTTTTCTTTCCCCTTCCCTCTGTGCAGTGTGCAGAGCTTCAGGTCCACATTCCTTTCATGTTTTCTTAATATTTGTAGTCATATTGTTTTTAGGAACCCCATCACAGACTTAAAGAAAATAAAACTTAATCTAAAAGTAATATATGTTTACTGTAAAAAAAAAGATTTGTTAATTCAAGTCTTACTAATTGTACACCTACTATGTGTCAAGCACTGGGAATACAGTGGTAATCATAATGATAGTGTTGCACCCTTTGAGCTGACATTCTAGAGCAGAATGTAGGAAATAATCAACTATATAATATTATTTCAGAAAGTGAAATGCTATTAAAAAGTAAAGCATTGTAAGAGGATAAAGAGCAGTTGCAGTGCAAGTGGCTGTTTTAGAGGTTCAGGTAGTGAAGACTGTATCAAGTGCCCTTGTCTGTTGCCTCTTCTGTCATTCTATTGCCCAGAGGTAGCCACTTTAACCATCTTCCAGAGAGTTTTTCATATATAAACATTTACTAGGATATGGACCATTGTTTCTGTTTGTCACTTAATAATCTACTGTGGATATCATTTCATATCAGTAGCTAAATTTCTCATTTTACCCTTTGCTTGGTGTTCGATTGTATGGGATGTCTGGTAATTTAATTATTTCTGAGTTGTTTCCTTTTTTTTAAGTGTCAGCCCCTTGAACATGTATCTTTCTTTACTTAACTGTTTGGGTATAAGCTATAAGGTAAATTCCTAAGTTATACCACTTTTATTATATTTTCTCAGTATACCTGATGGTTTACTTTGACTAAATGCCAGAAGTAAAACATTGCCTCCTTATTCTAAGTCTGATACCTCTCTCTCCCCTGCTTCTCTAACACGCACATTGTGATCTGATCCAAACCTCCACTTGGACACATGTGGCATATGATTAAACAGAAGTTATTGAATGAAATCAGACTTACGGCCTTAGTTGTCTGTCTTCCTGCTCATGTACTTTTGATATCTCTCTTCTGATTTTCTCCAGCTGACCAAAATTTCCTATCACTGAATGGGCCCTGTAGCTAGACTTGCTAGGATAAAATTCTGTGTCCATTACTTACTACCCTGTTTCCCAAAAATAAGACCTAACCTGAAAATAAGCTATAGCATGATTTTAGGTGCCAAAATATGGCACGTTGGCATACTGAATATTTTAAGCTGAAGGAGTTTGTGGAAAAGGCATCCTTCTCCCTGTAAAAGGTCATAAAACCCTCATGTGATGGGTACATGCCCTCCATATCCTGGAGGAATCATGCTACGGCTTATTTTCTGGCTCGGTCTTATTTTGGGGGAAACATGGTAAATATATGACCTTAAATAAATAACTTAATCTCTGTTTCAGTTTCATCCTACATAGAGTTAGGATAATAAATGGTACCTACCTCATCATGTCGTTGTGAGCACTACATGAGTAATAGACATGTAAAACACTTAGCACAGCATTTGATCCATTACAGGTACTCAGTAAATGTTAGCTGCTGTTCTTATTATTATCCTCCTCTTCCCACTCCCACAGCAAGCTCTTCCTCAGTAGCATTTTACCGTGCTCCTTGTATTTGATTACAGGCTGGTTTCTGTAACTATTCACAGGTTTCATCATCTTAATACTTAAGCTCCTTGAAGCCAGGGAGTGTATATTATTTATTTTCCTATTACCGACCCCTAGTGCCTTGCACACAATTGTGCTTAATATTTATTGATTAAATATGTGTACTTTTGGAGTAACAATCATGAAACCAGCATTTATAATACAAATCTGATTTTTAGCTGTATAATTTTTATCCTTGACCTGGTTGAAAACAAACTGTAATAATTACATTTCAGGAGATGACGCATTCATGGCCTCCCCCTCTAACGGCTATTCATACACCATGCAAAACAGAACCTTCCAAATTTCCTTTTCCAACTAAGGTAAGTAAATAAAATATGTCTTTGAAACTGTAATAAAACTCTTAAATGGCTTGACTAAAGTCATGTGAATTCAAAATTGTCTTGCCATTCCCATTTTAGTGGGAATCAGACAATAAAGAAGTAAATATGTAAGTTCAGATAGTGATAAATGCTGTGAAGAAAGTAAAACAAGATAGTGGAATCGAGAGTAATTTAGACTGAGCCACATTTGAAAAGCTTTGAAGATAGAATGGGGAAGAGACTTTTAAGTTTGTTGCAAACTGTTATGGTATTCTAAGCCACAGGTGGTAAGGGCTTCTCAAGCTGTTGGCTGAGAAACTCCTTTATTTAACTAGGACATAGCAACCATATTTATGTCATATGGAAAAAAGTTCCTCAGACAAAAGTTTCATGCTCTTCTAAAATCAGATGTGGAAGTTATTTACATGAATTTATACTTATACAAATTATACAAGAATACATTCTCCTTGTGGAATTTGACCAGGACCTATAAGGATACCCTTTCCTAATTCGGCGTCCTCCATACTCTCAGACCTACTTTCATACATACCTTTGCAAGACTTTTCATATGCATTTACATAAATATGTATGAAATCATTACATACAAGCGTTTCTCATTTAACTTCTTTACAGATATATTCTGTATTTTTAATCAGTCAGCAACAGGTCTTAGAGACCTTTCCATGTTGTTATACATTTATACTATACGTAGATTACATATAGGTAATATATTACATATAGAGGTATTTCATTTCTTTTAATTGCCTAAATGTATCTTAGTTTATTTAGCCATTTCCCTTTGGTATTTAAGTTGTTGCCAAGTTTTCATTTCTATAAACATTGCTTTAGTGGATATCTTCATTCATGCCTTCTCGTGTGCACACAACTTTCTTTTGGGTAAAAAGCAAGAAATAGAATTGCTGAGTATTGAGAGTATATACTTAATATAGTGTTTGTACCAGTCAGTACTCCCACTTTTATCCATTCACCTTTAAACATTTAAGTTATTTCCAGATATGGGTTATTAAGAATAAATTATAAACATTTACTTACAATCAATCTTTGTGTGGACTTGTTTCCTTTTCTCATATGACAAAAAGTAGAATTGTTGGGTCATATGCTGAGTGCATAGTAAATTAATACTAAACTGGAAACTATTTTCCAAAGTGATTATATCACACTCCTACTTCTCCCGACTCCCATCCCCCAGAAATGTGTGATAGTTTCATTTGTTCTCCATTCTTGCCTACATTTGGTATTGTCTGTCGATTTAGTTTTAGCCATTTTACTGGGTCTGTAGAGTTATCTCTTTTTTTTTTTTTAATTGGGGAATTGGGGTGATGGGAACAGCGTTGAGGAATAGGGGAAGGGAAACAGATAAGTTGCTGTTGTTTTGTTCTTCAGTCTAGTTGTGGAGGACGTTGCTTCACTGGCCCAAGTTGGCACCATCATTGCGCTCTTCCTGGGCGAAGCAGATCAGTCGCCGGCTTCTGGACGGCCGCTCACTGCGGCTGCTGGCCGCTCACGCTGGTTGCTGGCTACATACGGTAGCCCATGGCAACCCACTGCCACAGGGGCTGCAGCCTACGCCGTCACCGGCGACTCACGGCAGCCCAGCTCCAGGTTGAGCTGTTGTTCAGCATCTTAGCTGTGGAGGGCAGTGTCACTGGCCCTCATATGTGGGATCCGAACCAGGGCCTTCTGGCATCCCAAGCCAGTTCTTAACCATCGCGCCACTCAGCCAGCCCAATTATTTCATTTTTTATAGCTATTATATATGGTATTTTATTTAAAAATTTTAGTATCTGACTTTTTCTTGTTAGTTTATAGAGATACATTTGGTTTGTAATTTTTACCTTTTGTCCCACAACCTTGATAAATTTTCTTAATTTTAGTAGCATTTTTATAGATAAAATAGAATTTTCTAATTAGACAATTGCATCATTTGAGTAGAGTGTTACAACTCTCATTTAAAACTGGATGCCTCATTTCTTATTCTTGCTTTATTGCACTGGCTAAAACCTCTAATATAGTGTTGAATAGAAATGGTGAAAGTAGACATTCTTGTCTTATTTCTGATCGTAGAAGGGAAAGTATTCAGTCTTTCACCATTAAATATGATGTTAGCTGTGGGATTTATATAGATATCATTTATTAAGTTGAGGAAGTTTCTTCAATACCTATTTGCCTGAGAGGTCTTATCAGAAATGAATTTTAGATTTTCTTGAATTTTTTTTTTTAATCTATTGCTATAATCATAGGATTTTCCCCTTTTTTGGTCTACAAAATGAATTACATTGGTTAAATTTTAAAACAATCTTATATTCCTGGTTAAAATGAAAAACTCCACTGATGTATCATCTGCCTTATATAGTTTTAAATTTGATTTTCAAAAACTTCTGTTTTTTTTTTTTAGAGTTTTGGAATCTATGTTTCTGAAGGATATTGGTCTGTACTCTTTCTTTCTTTCTTTTTTTCTTTTTTTTTTTTTGTTATCTTTGCCTGGTTTTGGTATCAGAGTAATGCTGGCCTCATAGGTGAGTTGAGAAATAACTCCCTCCATTTTCTGGAATAGTTTGTGTAGAATTTATACAAACTATTGTTTCTTCATATTTATTTCTTCCTTAAATGTTTGTTAAACAGTGAAGTCTTTTGGGTGCTGAGCTTTCTTTGTAGGACAGTTTTTAAGTAAAAATTAAATTTGTCTAATAGATATATGGCTATTCATGATATCTATTTCTTCTTGAATGTGCTTCAGTAGTTCGCATCTTTAATGGAATTTGTCCATTTTATCTACTGATTATTAAAGAGGTGAAATTTATTGGTATACAGTTTTTGGTAATATTCCCTTATTATGATTTTTATATGCTATGATGCTACTTCTCTTATTCTTGTTATTGATAATTTGTTTCTTCTCTCTTTTTTCTCTGTCTAGAGGTTTGTGAGCTATATAGATCTTAAAAAATGGCTTTATCTCTGTTTTTCTTTTTTATTGCATTAATTTCCATTCTGATTTTTATTACTGTTTTATTCTGCTTTCTTTTGGTTTAATTTGTTCTTTTTAAAAAAATTCTTAAAAGTGGAAACTAAGGTAATTGATTTTGAGGTCTTTTTCACTTTCTAATATAGGCTGTTAGTGCTATAAATTTCCCTCTAAATAGTGTTTTATCTGCAACCCACAAATTTTAGTATGTGTTGTGTTATTTTTATTCAGTTCAAAATACCTTTTCATTTTTTTTGGGGGGGGGGCGGATTCCTTCATTATTCTTTGGATTATTTTGAAGTGTCATTTAGTTTCCAAATATTTGGAGATGTTTCACAAATTTTCTGTTACCAATTTGTGGTTTAATTCCACTGTGGTAAATGTTTCATGTACACTTGAAAAAATTTGTTGAGTGGTGTCCTGTAAATGTCAATTATATCAAGTTGATTTATAGTATGATTCAAGTTTTCTGTGTTCTTATTCATTTTAATTCTACTTGTTCTATCAATTATTGAGAGTTAATAATCTCCAGCTGTAATTTTGAATTTGTCCATTTGTCCTTGCTTGTTCATTTCTTTATAGTTTTCAAGCTCTGTTTCTAGTTGCACAAACATTTGGGATTGTTATTAGCTCTAGATGAATGTACCCCTTTATCATTATGAAATGACCCCTTTTAATCCTGCTAATATTCTTTGCTACAAAATTTACTTTGTCTCATATTAATTTAACCACTCTAGCTTTCTTGTGCTTAGTTTAAGTATTGTATACCTTTTTTCATAATTTACTTTTAAGCTCTCTGTGATCTTATATTTCAAATTCATTTCTTCACGATAGCACATAATTTATTTTGAATTTTTAAAAATCCAGTCTGATACTCTCTGCTCTTTTATTGGGGTATTTAGACCATTTATATTTAATGTGATTATTGATATGGCTGTATTTAAATCTCCCATTTTGCTTTTTGATATCTGCTTGTCACATCTGGTCTTTTGCTTTCTTTTGGGTTGAGTTTTTTTTTTTCTTTTTTTTTAGCTGAGCCGTCCTGCCACCTGTTGGCAGCTCAGCAACTGCTGAGCTCGGGCTGGGACTCGAGCCGCTGTTGCTCAGAGCTCAAACTCTTGAGCGAGCTCTTAACCAACTGAGCCACTCAGCCGGCCCTTTGAGTATTTTTTATTACATTTTATTTTTGGCTTATTAGCTACAACTGTTTGTTGTGTTATTTAATGTTTGCTCCAGAGTTTGTAGAATATATCTGAATTTACTGGTCTATGAAGAAATATTATGCATTCTTTTTTATTATATAAAAACCTTTCAACATTATGCCTGCATTTCTCCCTTCCCAGCATGTGTGCTGTTTTTTTGTATACATTTTACTTCCAGTAAATTACAAACCCCACAACATTGTTACTGTTTTTCTCTTAAACAGTCTAATCTTTTAAAGAGATTTAAATGATGGGGGGGGAAAGCCTTTGTAAAATATTTTCTCATATAGTTACCATTTCCTCTGTTCTTCATTCCTTTGAATTCATCCAGATTCCTATGTGGTATCATTTTCCTTCTACTTGAAGGACCTCTTTTAACATTTCTTTTAGTGCTTGTCTGCTGGTGATGAGTGCTTTTAGCTTTTGTATGTATTTCATCTTTTGTTAAAAAGGTTTTTTTTTTGTTTTTTTTTAAGATTTTTATTGGGGAATTGGGGGAAGGGGAACAGACAAGTTGCTGTCCTTTTGTTCTTCAGTCTAGTTGTGGAGTCTAGTTGTGGAGGACGTTGCTTCACTGGCCCAAGTTGGCACCATCATTGTGCTCTTCCCGGGCGAGGTAGATCAGTCGCCGGCTTCTGGACGGCCGCTCACAGCGGCTGCTGGCTACATACGGTAGCCCATGGCAAACCACTGCCACAGGGGCTGCAGCCTATGCCATCGCCGGTGACTCACGACAGCCCAGCTCCAGGTTGAGCTGTTGTTCAGCATCTTCGATGTGGAGGGCAGTGTCACGGCCCTCATTTGTGGGATCCGAA